GCAGCCAGTCAATCCTGTTTCATGTAGGCTGGGAGCTCTTAACTGATGAAAACAGTCATTTGATTGATTTTGACTAAAAGGACAACTTTGCACCGAATGTAGAAGATTTTGGCTGTGGTTTTTATGAGACTGAAGCACAAGGTGAATTTTTTGGGGGTTTTGGGCGTAATTCCCACCTAAAACCCAAACCTTTGCCACTGACTTTCTGGTTGGATGGAGTTGAGTATCTGCCATGCCTTCTGTCAAGTGATGTGTTACTGTCAAAGACAGGTTGATGGCTGGTAGAGTGGCCCTAGTAATCAGGCCATATTTGACAATATCGCCCAGTCAATAGATGCACTCGTATATGTCCAGTCCACGCTTTGACAACCAATCGAGGAGCGTCTGTCTCTCTTTGCCGGCAGTAAACACAGCGCCATCTCGGACTACTGAAGGGCAGACCGGATGGTTTGCTTCTCATCACATGCATCAGGGCCCGTGGTATATTATCGTTATTATTACACCGGACCGACACCATCCATTCTTGTATGCTGTTGATGCATCATCGCTTGTAAAAGAACTATTGATGGTCATAGATGCCAGGCTGGCGCTGGCTCGAAACGGCGTGCGTGTCGTAAATTGTAGCCCGAACGATTACACTGTTAATTTGCCAATCGTGATGTACGCTGGCTGCTTCGCTTCCTCATCTTCAAGACGAGGGGTTGGGGAGGGGGGGGGGGGGGGGAGGGCAGAAGCGCACATCTCAGTAATGCTTATTATATTTGCTCGGCGAAATTGCGAGGAATGGGCAATTGATATGCGTTGCCACAGATGGCCCAAAACAATCAAAACAGTTCGTTTAGATTGCAGAATGCAATCAGTCAGTAGGCCGCCTGCTTTATTAAAGGTGTGCCGTGGAGAGTATCTTGTCGATCATCGCAGCCATCAAAGTCCGCTGCATGCTCAGTAAGAAACATCACCTTTGGCCTGGATTTCAATCATTTAACTTATTGAGCATTCAGTAGGCCTATTGGGTTTTACAAACCCAATATTGAGTTTACATCACCCCGACCGTCGGCCCGACGCAAATTCCATCTTGTGAATTACTTGACCATGTGTAACTCTCATTATCAAAGGAAAAGAGCTGCTTTTTGTCAAAATCCTCTTAACTGTCAACCGTTCAACATAATTGAAATATAAAAATAACCATAAAAAAAAGAAATAGTAAAATAAGGTTTCAATTAATTTTAAAAAGAGATACAGATGTAGTACATGTATCTGGCACAGTTATTCCTTACATGTACCTTATATTGAAAAATTACTGTCCTTGCGTTTATTTTTCTTATGTTGAGAGAAAATCGCATCAACACACTACATGTACGCACTAAGCTAGAGACAGTACATCTACATGTACCAGTATATGTGGAGATGCACGTGTACTGTGTAGAAACCTAACTCACTGAATGGAGCAGGCATCTTTTTTTTCTCTCGGTTCATATTACAACCCCCAGGGCAGTCAATCAATAGCCAGATTTTCCTGTATGAAATGGTAATAACTTCCCGACCAGTGCACTCTGTGTTGGAGCCGCAGAAATACAAAAGAAGAAGTAAAAATAAGGGTTCAATGAAATTAAAAAAAAAAAAAGATTATTTATCAGAGACGGTGTGAGGTTTTTATTCATAAGAGAGTCAAGTGGTGCCTTTTAAGAGTTGAGGTCAGAGAGGGTATGCATTGAGTTACAACTTGGTCAAACGTGTTTGGGGATGCTGGCTGCTTATGCTGAAAATGATGATACTACTGCTGTTTTTGCTGTTGCTGTTTTAATAATGCTGGAACTCTTGCTTTGGTGTATGAATGAAAACATAAATTTTGAAAAGGACATCCCAAAATCAGAATCTATTTTGTATCTAAATTATAAATTTACAGTGCTGAAGTGAAAAGGAACATTTATTTTTTCTTTTCAAAATGTTTGTTACATATCCGTAAAATGATTTGTTTCTCTTTGTGGCAATTTTGGATGATTTCCATGTACCTAATTAGTAATTGGTCGGTATGCATTACCCGCAACTTTTCCAACCTGTGAATTTCTACAGCTTTTAATTTTTGCCGACCATCAAATTTCATTCCTTCTCCATTTTATTATTTTTTTTTTGTCCGTAAAGAATATTCATTTCATTTTGATTTGTGGCAGTTTTGGGAGGATATTTATATACATTGGTCAGGATGCATTCATACACAAGTGTTGCAACCTGCAGATTTCCACAGCTATTAATATTTATCGCCGGTCAAATTCATTCCATCTGAAACGTTTGGCTTTATCCTAAATATGATTCTTTCCCTTGAAGTTGAACTTGTGGCATTTTTTTTTACAAGAAATTCTTATACATTGGATGCATTTTAATTCACAACTGTTGCAACCTGCAAAACTCCACCAGCTATTAATTTTTATCACCCATCAAATATTCCCCAGGCGCACAGTGTCTGATCAAACACACGGGCAGAAATTTCGGAGAGAGAGGGAGAGATTTGGCCGCCTTTGAAGGTTGATCCATTGTAGACAAATAGCTCCAAGGAGCTTTTGACGACGCAAATCCCAGTATAAAGGCCCCCGCCGAAAAATCCCCTGCTTATCCCCACCAACAATATTTCCATTCTCTGGGAATGACGTTGGGACATTGAGGTGCCGGCCAGCTTAAAGCCAAGGCAAGGTGTGTGTGTTCCCGCACACAGTACACCAAAGGAAGCTTAATACGTCCACTGACCCAAATTGCTCGTGATGATATTTATATGACCCTCGAGGGAGGAAAAATGGCCAAGCCCTGAGGAGTGAGACAAAATCACGCTTTCTCAAAAAAACTGTTTCAATGTGTGAATAGTTGTTGCCAGACGCCCGCTTAACATGCTGTTGCAGGACATTGTTTGAAATTGCTTATTCAATTGGAAAGGGGAGATACAATTGTCTTTTGCTGCATCACTCCTGGGCAAGGTTGAACTTCAGATCCAAGTGGGTCAGTGAAATAAGGATTTATTTTTACCCCAAAACAGCAATCTCAAAGTCAGTTTCATGGACGTTACACACTCTTAATTGATCTTAAATCAAGGTAGAGTCGGACTGGACTTTTTAAAATTATCCTTTACTGTTCTCGCCACAATTAAAGTGGAAGAAATTTCACTCAAATATTTTGATATGTTAACTGAATTAGAGCGGCGCCATAAAATCAACCGATACCTAGCCACACATGGATGTGTTTTCCACGTCATGTCTAATAACCTCGTTGTTAATGTGGACCAAGGTGGAAATTAATATCTTGTAAACTTATATGGCTGTCAGTCTCCTTAGGAATAAAAAGAAATATTTAGGAAGTGCATAGTCAGAGGAGTATATACTGTGAAAATGAGCTCTTCAAGCATTTTTTCATTTCTCTGCCAATGGACTCCATGCATAAACATAGAGGGGGGTGTTTAACGAAAAGCATATGAAGGACACTAGTTTCACACAGACTAGTCATTGTTTGTATCTTCATGTACGTTTACCAGCGAGTACATGGAACAAGATGGCATCCAGTGTGGGGCTGGAAATTTGTTTGATCATTCGGTATTCCATTATACCAACTTGGACTTAATTGTATATTCAAATATTCAATTTCAAAATGCACCGGTCAAGTTATTAAAACATGCGCCATCCCAAACTGGCTGCTTATCGGGATCTGCATGTGCCTGAGCTTGTCTAAAGAGCGTATCAAAATATTGTGAAGAACAGGTAGCAGAGTGGCTGATATTTGACAGAGTTCTAAACCAAAAAAATGAGGTAATATTCCTCGAGGAAACTCGCAAATCACGCACGAAAATGACTTTCAAGTTTTAAAAAAAGTGTGGCATTTGACATACAATAAAACCATGTAACTTAAACCATCAAAATAAAACTGTGGACGTTTTTCATACAAATATCCTTAAAACAGCCCAAATTTTTTGAATATTTGAATCGAAAAAAAATGCCATTCGGATAATTTGATTGCTGATCGAATATTCAAATATTTGATGTATTCCCATAGCCCTCTATTAGAAGTCTCACCTAAGCCTTTACGTGCCATTCATCACTCTGAAAAAGAAATTGTATACAAATGGCGATGACAGTTGGTTTGTCTCCACAAGTGTCTGCACTTGTTTCCTATGACCTTCCACTTGCCCCCATTAACACATACCTCAGGACTCTGTCAGTGCTGAGAGTCCTCCCGGTTGCCAGGAGTTTTAGGGAGTGGGAAAAATTGCCTGTTAAAAATCAGCTTTCAACTGGGGACTCTCGGCCTGTTGCCAGGATGTGAAAATGCGTGTTTGTGCTGGCGTAGGAGTCCGTGGCCTTTTGGGTTTATTGGTAGTTCAACTGCTGGAGTAGAAAAGGAAATTTGATGGAAATTGCCGCTGACAGCCTTGGAAGTGAAGATGCCTCCATTATTTTGAAATTTGCATATTCGGCTGAATATTTTGCGATGGTTGAAATGTGATCAGAGGACCCTAGTGATGTGCCGTTTTAAGTGCGAAGTAGAATTTGTTTTACTTATTTTGTTTATTTGTGGTGTTTTTATATTTCCCCTTTAAATTTTCTGATTTATGGGGATAAAATGTGCGCTCTGTGTGCACATGAGGTCTCAGTTGTGAACAGAATTAAAATAAAAAATTGATAAATTGACGGCTGCTTTGGGTTGTCTGAAGTTGGTTCTGATGGAGAGAAAGCTGCAATTACCCTGCACCTTGCCTGCAGTTCCAGGACCATCCAGCATCAGTAACATTCATTTTTCGAGATGAAGAGCAGTGCTGCATACCTGTATTTTCTAAGACACTTATTGGTTCATTTGTCTTGTTAAACAAACAAATAAAGTCCACAGAAAGACATGCATGTTTTAGACTTGAACCGTATCAAGCAGGTTAATTACTCTGTCAGCAACTTTCAAAGTTTCAGACTTTTTAAAATTGTGTCAACAATATGGCTGACCTATTGTGAATTTCTCTGCTGTCTTTTCAGGTAAACGGCGTGGACCTTTCCAAGGCCACCCACGAAGAAGCCGTGGAGGCCTTCAAGAACGCCACGGAGCCCATCATCGTTCAAGTCCTGCGCCGGGCACCGCGCAGCAAAGCACCGGGCGACAAGGAAGGCGCGGCGCTGTGCAACGTGGGCACGCAGACGGAGCTGCAGAGCGAGGATCTGCTGTGGAAGGTGCTGCAGCGGTGCCCCAGCCCGCTGGACTCCAAGAATGGAGACCTGGTCATGGACGGGTAAGATCTTGCAGAGAATTTCATGGAACTGCTTGGCACAGAAATTTCACAGAGCAAAGAAGATATTTGATTTAAATAGCAAAAACTTGCGCAACATTTCATGCTGCGCAACCTTTTTATGAAATGACAATTTCACGAAAGTTTCATAGTGTGTAAGTCCACGACTTGCACAACAAATTATGGCATAACTTACACAATCATTTTAGGTGGCGTAAGTTGTGGCATAGCAACTGAAAATGACCTATTTAACCAGCAATTTGTGATTGTTATGGAGCCTGTCATTGCACAACTTATCAAGGTTGATACAAGACACTCACAGATGTGTGTTTGAAGTAAAAGAATTGCTATTCTACTCTTGACTGAGTTTTTAGAGTTGTCGCACGATTCCAAGGAAAGTCGGACCAAAATATTTTAAAAATGGCAGGCAAATTATGCCGAGTGACCCATATCATTGTGCGCCATGCGCAGTTGAAACGCCGAACTGGCTTAGTACTAGAAAATTCTGTGGTCACTGAAAGGGTTTTTTTACAGGTTGCGAAGAATGTTGCTGTGCTACCATATGTTCAAACAGTAATAAAAGATTTTTTGCTTTTTAATAGCACAAACTTTCTGTGCTTACAAATGCACAGAATGATGTCAAAGAGTACATCGGGCCTGTTAAACATAAATGTATAAATGTAAGGTTGAACTGTGCCCTTTTGTTAATGAGAGGATTTGGGACCTTTGAAGAGGTTATTAGGTCATTGTGCCAAGTTTCAGTTTAAAAAAAGAAGATGCATTCTGTTTCGTCATTAACATTTTATTGCTGGCTCTAAACTTCTCACAGCATCAGAGTGGGCAGCTCAAAGCAACTGTCTCCACTGTCTCACGGTGAGAAATGAGGCATTTTATTTCTTTCCTCCAGTGACTGATTGACACATTCCAATGCCTGTTTCTGTTAAGAGGAAGTCAGAAGGAAGATGAAAATGCAGTGAACTAGCTTTTGGCATAAGAATCCCATCAGTTGGGCAATGTGTATTAGCTAAATGGGTTTTGCAGCTTTCCGCCTGCTTTTTTCAGGTACTGATCGCATTCTTTTCCCTGCTCCCCCCGTTCTCTTCCTGCAGGCTGTGTGAGATTTCACCCCAGGAGCAGATGACTGTCATCGATGACGACCTGATGAATGACTTGGATGCCATGGACAATGTGGACATTCCCATCATAGACGAGGACGGGATGGACAAAGCATATGAACTGGAATACGAGGTTAGGAGGGCGCAGGTTTTGCATCTTGCATTTCTGAAATTAGCGTGGATACATCTCCAGCATTAGGGAAATTACAGACGATGCGCCTATGGAATCGAATGCTGCTCGGAAAAATTTTTGCTGATTGCATCATCATTTTTTGTGTGGTGATTTCGCCAGACCCACATATCGACATCTCAACATTTTGATACGAGATGCACGTTGAAGATAATGTTTCAATAACAAACAAATGTTAAATTGTGATATAATATGCAACTTTTGCCCAAGCTGCATACGTCAACATTTTGTATGAGATGCACATTGCAAATAGTGTGTCCCCCTCAAACAAAATAAATGCAAAATGGTGATATAGACTCCTAGACAGCCATCTTCAAAAGAAAATTGCAAACTGCGTATTCAATGCCATCAGGTACATGTGCGTGCAGAGTACAAAAAGCTCTAAACACGCGCGGGTGTTGCTCTCAATTTCTTTGCAATAGCCGATGCTCGTCACAGCCGATGCGCGTCATGAAAACCCAACATGACTCCCAAAATGCCGACACATGTGACAATATGTTGGTAGTTACGTCATTTGAGGGATATCTATATATTTTTCTGGAGCTCCATATGCCTCCCGTACCCAAATTGTTTCTAATTCTACATACTTCAGCCTGGATTTAATGCACAATTGATGACTATTAAAACAACGCAACGACCCCAACTCTAATGGGAAATGTCATTTTCATAATTTCAAGACATTGTAATTGTTAGATGCAAAAACGAACAATATTCTGGCAAGTTGCCTCAGTCCTTGTCTTTATCGAGTTACACGCACGCACTCTCGTGTTGAAAAGACTTCATTTTTTCCCATTTACTGGTGAATCTTGTTTCTTTCTTATTAGCTTTCCCGTCACCTCAATTTCCCAGCCAATCTTGCTCTTGTTTGGATGAGAAGTTGTTTACAGCAGCATTGTAGATGATTTAATATGACATGTCCCTTAAAAAATAAATTGAAAGTATTGCAATTTGATTCATTACTCAGGCATGCAACTTTTCCCCGGATCCGCTGATTTCCTCGTTTTTCACTTCTCATGAGTACCATTACAAATTGAAAAATACTGTACAAAATCTTGTGTGCATGCTTTGGAATTTCCTCGTTTTTTCTCTCCTAAATTCCCAGTTGCATGCCTGATTATTGCTCCGGAAAACAACCTCCCCCCCTTAGAAAACAGAGATAGCAGCAAATTATGAAAGAAAGATGGGGATACTTCACTAGGGAAAGTTGCTAGAGCTGTCTGCTAGAAAATTGAGCTAAATTGGCCTTTTGGATTGGTGGTCCTTCTCTAACAGGCAATGTGATACTGCTGAGACCTGACTTCTTAAAAGCAGAAATATCACAGGTAATTTGTTAAAATGGCGATGCCTGGTTTATGGCCTGTCCCTGTGGATTCTCTTTTTGGTTTGCTGGATGAGAGATCACTCAGGGGGGCTGAAGTCGTAAATTCTTTGGTTTGGGACCTGCCAGCGTTAGTTGCTGTCAGATGGAGAAGTCTGAGGATTCTTGAATCTTGTCTTGCCAGATTTCATCAATTGAAGGAAATTTTCTTTTCTTCTTGTTTGTTGGGATGTTAATTTGGCCAGCACTGCAGTTAAAAAAAAAATCACAAAAGAGAGTCTTTCTACCAAAAAAATCAAGCGTGTAGTTGCTTTTGAGAATGTCGTTGCGGTGGGAATCGCCACGGCAACTACCCAAAGTACACATCGCAGAAGAATGGAGACGGCGACGAAATTGCATTAGAACTCCGACTGAATGCGTGCCTTAATGCAATAATGGAAGACAAGAAAGGAATCTTCCGTTAAGAAAACCAAACACGGTGCAGGAATCGGCGGACGTTATGTCTTTGCGGAGCCGCGGTCGTACATGTACATCAGCAAATCACGCTCCGAGAGAAAGAGAGAGAGAAAAAAATGGTGGTTCCTAATGCGTCTGTTGTGTGGCTGGCCATTATTGGACGTTGGCGGATGCCACAATGGGCCCGATCAATGGAGGAGTTCAATGGAATGCGAGTGGTCAATTAAACAGAGACCCAACCAATGTCAATTAGCGGGACTCTTGCCTCAGCCTCCTTGAATAGCACCAGATATTTTATTGATTTCGCTAAGCACATGTGCATAGATAGATAGGGCTGGAGAATATAAACCCATGCTGGATTATTTTCAGAGAATGGGTTAACTTTTTTCGTTTGTCATAATTCAAGGTCTTGGTTTCTTTCACGTTTGTGAAGATTTTCTAAACACTTGAGGCTTTCTAGGATTTTTCATGTTTGAAAAATGTATTCCTAATGTCAATATTAGGATGATCATGGGTCAAACATGAATGTTCACATGCCTGACATTTTATGACTGGTCGGGTCAGGTCATGTCATTGGGAACACACAAGCTGCACTAACTGCCCAAGTTGTGGCCAATATTTAGAAATGATGCTGCTGTCTAACAATTTTTTAAATAATCTATAAGTTTTCACAACGTATCATTGATATCACATTTGAATGAATAACGCATTTTTCTTTCCATTTTAAACATGTAAGCTTCATATTGAGATGCAGACTTTTTTTAAACTCAATTTACTGGATTCCAAAATCCACTTTTCCTGTTTCACTTGGTGAGCTGAAATGAAAATTAGGATGAAATTAGGGGCCTGACGTTTCGATTCTGGCAGGATCTTTCACTTTGTATAATGTTTCAAGTCGATCCAGTCAGTAAGCAGTTTGCAGTGGAATTTCAACACACTTTTCAGTAATTCAAGATATACTGAAACACAACTGCACATGGATAAAAGAATTCTGAAGTTAGCATGAAAATTGCAAATATTTTCCTGATGTTTGATTGTCCCCCCCCCCCAGGATGTGACGCTAAGGAGGGATACTGGCGGTGCCAAACTCGGTCTGACGCTGTGTTATGGAACAGAGGAAGACACAGGGATCTTCATTAGTGAGGTAGGATTTTAGACCACTTTTCTTATATCCAGAATCAACGTTTTCTCCAGATGCACTTGAGGTGTTCATATACAATGTACATTGTACTGACTGATAGTACAAAAGGAGATATGTTTTGAGAGAAAGAACAATTTAAGAACAGATATTCTCTGATTGATCCATGTGTTGTGAACCTGTATCTCCATAGATCTACAAAATTTTTCGCAGAAATTGATTAACTCCCATTCACTTTTTTTGTTTTGTTATCATCTCCGAAGTGGTACATGTAGTTACATTTCAAGGAAAACATGACACCAGGCCCTAGATTTCTTGACTGTTTAAATGTTCTGTAAAATTTTGTTCAGGGTAATTTGCAAAAAATGATGCTACGCAAAATGTATTTGACAAGGAAAGGAATGAAAATAAACCAAACCAAAGGTAGTTTTAAATCACTTCATATTTCAGTTCTGCAACTGGATTTTTTTTGGGGGGGGGGGGGGTGTTATCAAAGTGATTATGTGCTTACATGTTTTTGAAATTGTGTTAGTTTGCATCCATGGTATGCCTCTAAAAAATGTTAGCAAATGTTCCAGAATAACAGACACTTGTTTCAGTAAAAGGCCTTTTCACACTAGAGCCACTCAACCCGGGTTGAACTCGACCCTGGGCAAATTAACCCAGAGCCGCCCCGGGTTGAGTTTTTGATTTTTCAACCCCACGTTCAACCTGGCATCGTTTCACACTTGTTTTCACACTTATTTCGCTCGGTTACTACTATTTTAACCAGTGGTGACAGTTTCAACCCGGGTTGCAAATCTCAACCCCAGTCTGGAGCAGGTTTGAGTTCATCCCGGGGCGAAATCAATCTCGGGGTTGACGCAGGGTTAAACACGTTCAAGTGTGAAACGCGGCATATTTTCAACCCTACGTCAACCCTGCATCAACCTCAAGATTTTTCTAGTGTGAAAAGGCCTTAAGCTGCTGATCTTTTTCCTGGGGGAGTGGTAGTCTGACACTCAAATTTGTATCACACTGTGAAGTCTGACAGTTTTGCAGGGGTGGGGGCTACCATTAAACATTGTGTCTTAACACTGGAGCAGCGATGCTGAGTATTTAAATCACATGGTTTTGCTACTGTGTCTCATATTACACAGCAGCCTGCAGTGCGCAGACTACTTGCACAATGCTGGTTGCCATGGAAACACGTGAGTGGCTTCATCATGTTCTCCACTTACATTCACGTACATCCAATAAAGCTGTGTTCATACAATGTGAATGCTGCTTAATATTCGCTTCCAGCAGTTAAGGCCCAAGATTCCTTGTGACTGTTTCCGTAATTAGATTTTCGGCATTTGTTGGAGATGCAGTAACACACAGGTAAATTTGTATTAGATGTACATGTACATGTAATTGTACTGTACATTTGTATTCGATGTTCATGTACATGAGCATGTGATACATCTATACAGTTTAGTTGTCGTATTGCTCTTGTAAAGGACATTTGTTTGATCTTTGGGGATCTCAGTGGAACAGATCTCTGTCAAAAACAAGTCCATCAGTGTAGATATTGGAAGGTTTCTCTATACCGCTTCTGAATCCCGCGTGACCTACTCCATCACAAAGAGATCACAAAGATGAAACCATCGGCGCATACCCCGTAATTTCTTTTAAAGGGAAGATTTGTTTTCATCCAGCCATCCAGAAATCTACCTGTGCCGTGAGCTGGCCAGAAGAGCTGGCAAGTTTAGTCGGTATCCAGGCCAATCGGTAACCCTCTTCATCCGTTACTGATTACAGATGAAAGCTGTCAGGGCTCAGTACCTGGCTGTAGGGGGATTTTGACTGCATTGTCTTCTGATCGCCAGAGTTTCATGATTCCAGTAGACCAGGGTTGAATCATCCTTCCTAGTTGGCTTGATTGCCCGACGTCAATTTCAGAGTTGGATAGGAAAAGGGGGGGGGGGGGGTAAAAAACTGGGTCTAGCGATCTAGTTACCAAAGTAATCCACATTTAATAAAAAGCCAAGCTTTACTTTTCCTCCCACTGTCGATGGATAGATTGGAAACACGAAGATTGGACTCCCCGCTCCAAATGGGAAATTGCCTGTGTTTTACGGACCGGCACTTTAGCACAGGTAGTGACGTTTTGGCCGTTATTGCCAGCGACGTCGTCCACCGAATTTGAACATTGGAAGTGGAAGTGTTTTTTTCTTCTGTTTTTGGTTTATAGGGAACATGATCGTTTCTAGGTTTCTCGGGTATGAATGTCTCCAAATGGATGTTTTCAAGTGAAGTTGTTGAAGGGATTTACTTGCAAGCTTGTTACCCCTGACTGAAATATGCGAAATGTGGAGGAGGGGTTATTTACCTTGGGAATTTAAACGCATTAGAAAAGTAACTTGCACCTGATACATGTATGTTTAATGTTGGACTAAGTAATTGTTCTCAATTGGGAAAGTAGAATGTGATAATTTGGGAAAGTCCAAGAAGAGGTCCCCTTTTTGTCCCATACGTAGCGCCATATTTTCTGTAATTACCTAATCATAGCAAAGACTAATAACCTAAAAATTTGTGTGGGTATTCTCCTTTCAGATGCCCAGCAGTAGAATGAAAAACACTGAAATTAATAAATATCTTAGAAGTTAGAGGGTTATACTTTTGTTATATGGGACATATACATGTAGTGTGCGAGAATTCTTAGACTTGCCCATTTCTTGAAAAAGGACATCCTCACCATCAGGGACCAAGATTAGTATTATCAAAACTCTTTTCTTCTTAGTTCCAATATTGAAATAGCTATTGAGGTTTGCATTCGGTAGTATTCATTCCAGATCACAATTCAACCACAAACCTTGATAGTTTCCTGGATATTCATTTAATAGGGAGGGCCAGGGCAACAAACCCCGGCCACCTGCAGTTAATTCAATCTGGCCTATCTGCTGTGGCCAGTGCGGCCACCCTTTATCCTGACCACTGATGATCTCACTGATTACTTTAAAGGGGACAGCCTGCTGACTGTTCCACTTTTGGGAAATTTTAGTTATAAGACAGAGCCCAACTAGTCTTAATCCTACAAAATGAGTTGAAAAGATATTTCACGCCTACATGTAATAGTTATCTCATTATGCAGTAGAAACAGCATATTCTGTTCTTCATTTCAATATCACTATTAAAATTTGATACCTTTAGATATATTCAGATATTCTCTGGATGAAAATGGTGATTGTTCTTGTTGGTTTGCATTTGTGCTGGTTGAGCACTTACTCAAAAGTACATGTAACTCTGACGACATCTGATTACATTTTGTTGGGTGTGGCCACATTTGCCATCTCTTAACAGTGTGACTGTACATGATGATATTTAAAATATACAGTACCTCCCGTGTACATGTAACTGAGAATTCGACACACGTAGTTGTAAAGCTACTCACTTTGAAGTTTGATTGCTTTTCTCCAGCCTCGGTCTCTTTATTTGTGACGGTGTAATTTACCCTGGATGCGAAATTAATATTCACTTTCTATGTTTTCTGCTTGTTGAGGCATTATCTTTTTCACACCTTTGCTGTAAATTGAAAAAAAAAAAGGATAAGGAAAAGAAAACCCAACTGGTGTTTGTTCGTATTCTCTGAAATTGAAGTAACCAACGTCTCACATGTGATGCAACTTTAATTGCAACCTTTCTAGTCAATTCAGACAAAATTTGGAAGGAAGACAACCGGTCATCCCGGCAAAAAAAACAACTGATTAGGTATGGATTTTTTTTACCAGCAGGAGCCTCGGTAAAAAAATGTCCAGGTTTAGTTGCTTGGCTTATAATTAAGACTGTTGGCCTTCTGTGGATCACAATGCCATCAGATGTGCATGTATTGTCCATCTTGGGCTATTTTGAGGGACCAAAGAGGTTGCGGTCAGGGTTTTCTTTTCTGGAATGGCAGGAGGTCTTGAATCAAGCCATCTTCAAGGCAGATGAAGCGTAAACAATATCCCTCTCATCGAAAACAAATGCCCTTGTTGATTTGCAAATTTATGTTTTGTGTGGGAGATGTTTTGGTTGTTAAAAAAATTTTTTTAGAGGGAGGGGGAATTTCTGCCTACTTTGATACCTTAATGCAGCTTTTAATTGAACTACAGAAAACATGTTTTGATATTATTTGCATAATGGAAGTCTTCATTTTGCTAGGGTCTTAACAGATCAGCATTGAATACATTAAATACTTACTGTAAGCCATCGTCAATTCCAGAATAATTAAACTTGTTTTTGAGGAAATACAAAATGCACATGTATGTCCAGATTGGACGTCTCATGTTCTGGAAGATAATCTAAGATGAAGCAGTGCAAAATTTTAAGTGCAAGTGGAAGTTCAAGCTAAATGATAAAAAAAGTGGCATCAGGATGCAATATTCTTTCCGTAGTTTTTATTAGAGTGAGGAGTCCATGTATTAACCACTTAATCACTGTACTGCCCCAAACCGCCCTGCCTATTACTCCCTGTTGTGCCCAAAACCGCCTGAGCACTCCATGGTATTATGGATACATCAGTGAATAAGCATAAATGCTTAACAATGAAACACAGATGCTAAAAAATTGGGTCAATAAGAATGTAAAGTATAAGCAACTGTATAAGAACCAGAGAAAACACTTTGAAAATGTATTGGCTGGAGATAGAGTAAGTATTGAAGACAGAAATGGAAAGAAACCCACTGGCTAAGAAACCCAGACCACAGAGATGTTGTGAGAACATACCCATAAACTTCTCTCTCACTGGGGGAGCATTCAGTGATGTCATGGGGGCTGCTATTAATGGTGGAAATGTCTCATCAGGGAGGATTTGAAAGTTACAACGGGGCACAGGGGAGTACGTGCCCTCTGACCCCGATGTTAGCAACTACAGGGTCTCATTGTCCTCCGCAAATTTCATTTATGCTGGAGAGAATGCTTTTGGGAGCTAGAAAGACTTCATCTAAAACATGTTTGCTTGTGCCCAGGGCTGCTGGATAATGGAATCCTGTCACAAGTACTCT